TATCATCCTGTTCTGATTCAAAATTCCCAAACCCTAAATATAATTTAAAAGATTAGCACACGTTCTATACAAATGATTTTCCCTTTCAGCGATATACCAAGTAGCAAAACGGGCCTTCGCTTTCCACACTCATAAAATAATGGTATCAAAATAGAGGTAGTTCTCGACTTACAACCATTCATTTAGTGACCTATTTGATAGTACAGCAACACTGCAAAAAGTGACTTGTGACCGTTTTTCACACTTACGTCCATGGCAGCATCCTCATGGTCACGTCATCAAACTTTGAATATTTGGCACCTGGCATGTATTTATGACACTGCAGTGTCTCGGAATCATGTGATCATCATTTGCAACCTTCTGACAAGCAATGGGGAATCCAGATTCACTTAACAATTGTGTTATTAACTTCACTGCAGTGATTCACTTAACAACTGTGGCAAGAAAGGTCATAAAATGGGGTACACCCTCTTAACAATTGTCTTGCTTAGCAATGGAAATTTGGGGCTCAAGTGTAGTCATAAGTGAAGAACTACTTGTATGCATGCCAAAAATCCTCTAGATCAGGGGTAGGAAACCTTGGCTCTTTTATGACTTGAGGACTTCAATACCCAGAATTCCTAAACCAGCCATGCTGACTCAGGAATTCTGGGAGTTGAAGTCCACAAGTCATCAAAGAGCCAAGGTTCCCTACCCCTGCCCTAGATAATATCTCACCTTAGTCCAAACTCTCTAGATGTCCTTCTCGAAGCTACGCACCCTTCAGAAATGGTTTGGAAGAAGTGCTTTCAATTTCACACGAGGATATATCCATCTGCTATTTAATAGGGTAATCCCTTTTTTCAGACTTCTATGCGCCTGATTCTGAAAAAGTATAGTCCTAATGGCCAGACTACTATATCTTACAGGGATGCTAACTGAAGAGGCAAACGTTCCATTGGAATTATTTCTTTCATCCCTGGTTGAAAATAAGGATAGCCTTAAAAAGAGTATATTTAATAACATGGAACACTCGTTTTTCTCTTCGGTGAACCTTTAAAAGAGGAACTGCTCATTTTTCATAAACTTGTTTTTCAGGAATTTAACTTTTATAAACTGATGGCGAGTGCGCTTTCATTGGGGACTGGATGAAAAATTGCCATTTCCCGACTAAAATTTAGCTTTCTTTCTATCTTAAAATGTTAGAATTTATTGGTCAGAATGTCCATAATAGACAATGTTATGCTACTTATTATGCATTACTTTTTTATATATTTATTTATTCTTTTTCTAATAAATATAATGACCTAAAATTTAATAATAAATTGCTTTTTGGACTTTTGGTTAAAGCAGTGATCCTCAACCTTTCTAATGCCGTGACCCCATAATACAGTTCCCCATGTTGTGGTGACCCCCAAGTGGGTGTGGCCACCAATAAGAGGGAGTAGGACAGCTAGGGAAAAGGGAAAAAAATGGCGGACAGCATGGTTTGGCGACCCCCGTGAAATGGTCATTCAACCCCAAATGGGGTCCCGACCCATAGGTTGAGAACCACTGGGTTAAAGTATTGTTTATGTGAATGAGAAATCTGAATACAATTTTTTAAAAATATAGTTAGTACTATGTTGCTGCTGTAATAAATTTGAAGATTTCCCTATTGTTTAAAGAAATGTCAAGGGGGGGGGGGGAAAGACTCAGGAAAACTTTGGCAATCACGGTTTAGTATGGAAAAGACCTACACAAAAGACAAGGTGACGTGCATAAAGGATTAAGGTGAATATCTATGACAGGTATGGACAAGACTTCTCTGCAAAAAAAAAAAAAAAATGAAATGGCAGAGAATCATCTTAAATTCTCTAATACAAAAAGAATAATTTATTGAAAGCAAAAGAATTAACTTTGAATGTAAATGATTATTTGGATGTCTCTGAAGATTAACTGGGACTTGGGAGAAGCTGTTTTCCTAGTGAATTTAGCTCCTGATGTAATACCTAAACAGAGTGTAACTCTCTTTCTTTCTCTAGCCAGATAGCATTAAATCTCTCCATAAACAGAGACTTTAACTTCCAATCCATACTTCCAGTCCCACTAAGCTCAGCAAGACTGATCTCGGAGGACAGACATGCAGGCTCGCACTGCTTTTACATTTATCACGATTTCTCCAAATCGATGACTGAAAATAAAAAAAGAAAAGAAAAAAATAATCAAATTTTACCATTTTGCTGGAACTGCAGTTTTAATTTTAAATATGAAATTCAGTGTTTTTTTTAATAGAAAATAGTGTTGTTTAAAGTTAGAAGAAAAGCATAAAATATTTTCAATTGAATACATAAAACGAAAGGCAAATAAAGGACACTGATATTATAACACAGAGAGTTTAATTCTGCAGAACTGTCATGCTTTAATTTTTAATGGGACATTATTACTTTTACACATTTACTATTACTATTACTGGATTTGTTTAATGTTCTGGGGACATGAAGTAAAAGCATTTTCAGATAAGTAATTACATAAAACATTTTCTGTACATTATTTATCTTTAGCATTTTAAAAGGAGTTTTTAAAAGTTGATACTAATTTTTCTACATTTTGGAATAAGAATCAAAGGTACATAATATATTATTCACCTAATCATCACTTGGATACTTTTGCCACTCAAGAGTAAAATGGATTAAATTTATAGTAACTAAATGGGAAAGACAGGAAAACAATCTGGAAAAGGAAACTAACAAAATACTTACATATTGTCACCTAGCACTGCATGGATGAGCCATGAGATCAGTAGCAGTGCAGCTTTACTAGAAGAATGAGTGGGGTTTTTTTTCTAAAGCATCTGCTGCATTATTTTTAAAAAGTACTTAATTAGATAAAATGTCCTTGGGGAGGAAGAGAAGCTAGAAAAAAACCTCAGTTTTTTGTTGCCATTGTCACTATTTTTTTTTCTCATTTACCTTATTACGTTTTAGCTTTTCTAACATGTATATAGAATCCATTTCTGAATAGGTAAAATTTATTTATATCAGAAATATTTCCATATGAATACAGAGATACATTATAAATTGTGATGATTACATGGATAATGAGTGTTACTGTGCTTAGAGATATACATACACCCACACAAATATATACACACATACACAAACCTACATTTATGAAGGGTTTACAGCATAATTTCTGTTTTGCTTTTTTATTTTTCCATTCTTCCTTTTTTTCCTAGTTTGTTTAAATAAATAAAGACCAATAATTTTTTTAAAAAAAAAATACTGTTGTGCATCGTGGCCAAGAAACAAGATGTCCAGAGGAAGGTAACAATATAAATTGTAAAACTCTCTGATGATGCCAAAAGCAGGACAAGAAGTACATTCTTCAAAAATGGCTATTTTCAAATACACAATGTAATGTAACTATGACCCTTTTGGGAATAATATTATAGGTACTAGTGTTTGATCAGAACCTGGGTTTCTTCTTCCAATAAAGTAAGGATAACCGTGGCTCGGTTGACATAACACAGCTAAATGGAACCTTTATTCGAGCAATGGCCATTTGACACTGCCATTCCCACAACTAATATTTCATACATATGACAATATGAGCTCTGACTCACCTAAGCCTAAGAAGGCAATGCATCTATTACAGAAAGTCCTTGACTTACAACAGTTTGTTTAGTGGCCGTTCAAAGTTGAAAAAAGTGACTTATGATTATTTTTCATACTTGTGACCATAACAGCATCCCCATGGTCACGTGATCAAAATTCAGATGCTTGGTAACTGTCTCATATTTATGATGTTTCCACTGTCCCAGGGTCATGTGACCACGTTATGTAACCTTCTGATAAGCAAAGTCAATGGGGAAGCCACTTAACAATCATGTTACTAATTTAATAACAAAAAGAAGAAAGGTCATAAAATGGGGCAAAACTCACTTAACAAATGTCTCATTTAGGAACAGAAATTTTGGGCTCAGTTGTAGTCATACATCAAGGACTACCTGTACTTTGTATCTTTATATGTCACTAGACAACCCATGAACCATTGGGTCATCCTTTCAGAGGTATTTCCTTACCTAAACAGATAAGCAGAATGACCACAGGCAGACAGAAAAAGCAGTTGAAGCAGGAGCGATTTTTGAGTTCCTACCGACTTTCCCATTGACTTTACTTATGGGAAGCTAGCAAGGAATGTCAAGAATCACAATCCCATGACCACAACTGACTATGATAAGGCTACAAACAACCACGACTTTGCAAATGCAATTGGTGTGAAGATCCTTGAAATTTCAATTACACAGGAGTAATGGGTCCCAATTTTGTATGCATTTTTTAAGTTAATGGAACCTAGGTAACTTGATTCAAAAACTTTTGTGCCATGACTGGACTAATTGAAGGTTACAAACAGACAAATAGACTATAGAGTTTTAGTAATATATAGCTAGGGAAACCATGTGCTCAGGAACACACCACAACATTAACACAATCTAGGAATTCCATCACAATTATTTACTTTGTAGACTAAGTGAAACAAATTGTAATTATGGTGTAAAACGAAGTGTGCAACTTTTTCAGTACTGTGGAGGTCTCATTCCAAAATGTACTGGTTTGAGTCAGGATGGAAAAAAAATCATACTGCTTTGCATTTAACCTTAATGAAATAAGATTCATAAAATTACTCTACATTCAATAATTATCTAATTCTATCCAGTAACAAATTTGATTTGGTGATACGCCATACATATTTGACATTTTAGGTAAATGTACCTCTATTCTTAAAGATACAAAGCAAAAAAAAGAAGCTTATTTTTTTGACTTATGTGCCTCTGAATGATACAGGAGATTGTACTTCTTTTTGTTATTGTTATATTCTGCTACATATTATAAAAATCTATACAAATAAACCAAACATTTAATATTATTATTTGTTTTTCCAGCTATACATAGTGCTCAAAAAGATGGCTGTAAATGTTGGAAATGTGATAGCTACAAATTAAGAGTTAAACTTAAATGCAATAAATTTCAGATTTAAAATGAAAAGAAAAATGTCACACATTTTATTCAGATCCTACAGAACATCAAAATTTTCAAATACAAATTCTTTTCATAAAACAATACATGGAAACTTTGTTCACAAAGGCTGTTGGGTTTTTCATTTTTTATTTTGATATTTTTTTGCAGAAATATGTAGAAACATAAAATGCTTGTTTCGTGGTTTTGCTGGGAAAAGGTGATGGGCGTTTCAGGAATGCAAGTATAAAAGATACAAATGAAACGGAAGTCGGTTTCTCCTCATACTGGAATTATTCCCTTTCAAACCCAGAAAAGCTTGTGAATGTCATATATCCAAATACTATTTTCTCTCTTTCATAAATGCAGTAGGGCGAAGAAAGTTGTCCTCACTTTCACATCCAAACCTTTTCAGTTCACTGAAGGCAACGGGGAAAATGGGATGTCATGAGTCGTAATTTGTACTCTGAACAATTCCAGAGATTTGAGCCATTTCAAACCTTCTGTAGTAAGTTTCTCTTAATTTACTTTGACAGGAATTTGCATTGTCATCATCCAAAAGGTAATCACCCGTGCCAGGCAGAAGAGCAAAGGAAATCAGCAAAGGTTAGAAAAAAAGACAGCTTTAAAAAATCATGACCAGAGCAAGCTTACAGTAGAACTCTTTCTAACCATTCACTGCTTTAATTTCTAAGACCAAGAACAGTCCAACAGAATTAATCTTCTATCGCTTTGGTGCAGTGTTTGAAAAACAAGCCACAAACCATCACCACAAGCCTCGTGCAGATGCAGAAATGTTTACCCTCGTTTGCTGATCTGTTTGCAGATACTCTTTGGCTCAAAACTATTTGCTTCCCTTCCTCATTCCCTGGTTGTTGTTGTTGTTGTTGTTGCTGTTTTGAAAAACATAATTTCCATCAAAATATTACTATTTTCACCAGTTTCTAAAGGACCATGTTTTAAAACAGTGGTTCTCAACCTTTCTAATGCCGCGACCCCATAATACAGTTCCCCATGGTGTGGTGACCCCCAACCACTTATACATCACCGGGTGCCAGGGGCGTGGCCAAAGAAAAGGGGGAAAAAATGGCAGACAGCCTTGTTTGGCGACCCCCGTGAAATGGTCGTTCGACCCCAAATGGGGTCCCGACCCACAGGTTGAGAACCACTGTTTTAAAAAATGATGTATTTCCAATAACACACTGTTCTCACTTATCCAGTGTTTCAATAAAAGTCTAAACTAATGAACTGACATCACTTCTTCAAATCTATCTTGTCCAGGAGAGCTTACTTTCTGATTACCTCACTCACACTAATAATGACTGATAGGTCACTCCTGCCCTGGTCATCTCCCATACGGATACTGCAATGTGCTCTACATGGGGCTACCCTTGACAAATATCCAGAAGCTTCAGCTGGTGCAAAATGCAGCTGCACAAGCTATATCGAGCACCTAAAGAAGGGCATACATAAAAACTTTTTGCTGGTTTGCTTCCAGGTCCAATTCAAGGTGTTGGTTGTGACCTACATTCAATCCATTACACTGGCCAGTCCAGCAGGAAAGATACGTTGCACCATGTCAGTTAAAGAATTCTGACTGGCAGAATCCAGGAAGAGACCTTCTCTATTGTTGCCCCCACCCTGTGGAACATTCTCCCCCCAGAGGGGAGGCTGGCTCCCCAGTCTCCTGACCTGCTGAAGGGGAATTAAAATGTGGCTCTGTGGCCTTGCATGGGGAGCCCAAAGAAGCATGCAGCCACGGAGCTGGTTGGGGCCCCGAGAGCCTTCTCTCTTCACTTTTTCGATTGATCTGAAACAGGGCTTAATTATTCTTGCCTCCCTCTAATTTTTTTTTAATTTTAATATTTTAATTTTTATATACTGTTTTTATAGTCCAACATTTTATTGCAGAGCACTCAGAGTTTTTCTTTGAGATAGATGTCAGGTTCATAAATGCGAAAAATAAATAAATAATAAAAAGTAAATGATGAAAACTGCACATTGCACTAAGAGATGGTTTGCTGATTAAAGCACAATGTTAAAGCACATTATACAGTGCTATAAATATTGATTTACAAGCCACAATTGTCTACATTCACACAACATGATAAACCTTACAAACAGTTCTTTTAACAAAGTAAGCCAAAAACCAAATAAACTACATAACAGCTTAGGGTACAAAGTATTCAGTATTCTTATTTTTCACCTTAACACTTCCACATTTTGCTATTGCTTTTTCAGCTTTTTACTTATTCACACAGACATAACATTCATTAAGACAGATTCCTGTACAGTGCCTTTTGACTGGTAACAATAGAAACTCTGTATTCAGAAGCTTTTACATTGAACTCTACAGCTCTATCTGCAGAGAATAAAAAAACAACAGGTTCTGAAGAAGGGTTGGGCAAAATAAACCGCTACCTGGAATTAGTCTTTACAATGTTGTCCATATCTCCTGCTGCTTCATAAAAATAATTTTATTTATTTATTTATATCCTGCCATTATTATTTTTACAAATAACATATCCTATACGCCTTCCTCCATCTCTTTCCCCCACAACAATCCTGTGTGGTGGGTTGGATTTAGGAAGCGTAGTTAACCCAAAGGCATCCAGCCAGCTTTCATGGCTAAGGGACGGCTAGAACTCATGATCTCCCACTTTCTAGTCTGGTACTTTACTAGACCAAACTGGCTCTATATTTTTTTTAAAAAAAAAAAATAGATAGATGGAGATCACAGGTGGACAACATATACGCAATTGTTTAGCCTCTAGTTTCATCTCTGCTGGAGAACATATGGAGAGAGTACAGTATAAAGAAAAGCAGTGAGCAGTTTACCACTCTTCTTCCTGGTTTTCTCGTTCTACAATTCCTGATCACTAATCATCACTGCAATAATTAGTAGTAAGCAGGTGTGTATGATGTGTATGTATGTGTGTGTGTGTGTGTGTGTGTGTTCATTCAACCCTGCTAAAACTCATGGCATGTACTGAAGTTCAAGTAAATAAAAACCTTCTCTTTTTATAATATTAGGTAATATTGTTATCTGAGTAGAATATTACCGGTGGGCTACTTAAAATGGATGAGCCAGGTTCAAACAATGGCAATATTCTTGGCCAGATTGGTATGTCTGGCATAATGACATGTCTTTCTACAGTATTTGTTCCAATGTTATTTAATTAAGGAATACACCACCCACCTTTTTCCTGATAAAGAAACATACATTTTGCTTACCAGCAAAGAAACTGGGAGGATTTATATTCAGATGACTGCAAGAATATAAATTGTTCCATTCCCCACCATTTAGTCAGAACTGAAGAAGCTTCTTGGATGAGAGGAGAAACGTTTTCAAGGAAAAAACAAACAAAGAAAGTCCAGTTGCCTTTTGGAAAAGCACCCTTGGAATTCAAAATGTTTGAAAATCCACAGTGCTTTCTAGTTGCAATGTTAAATTAAAATGAATATGTCTGAGTTATGTAAACGTCTTTAAAGAATGTCAAACAGTATTTTTTCAACACATGAAAAAACAGGTTTGGCATCTCAAAGGTACAATAGTAGCCTGAGTTCCAAGCAGGAAGTTCAGGAACTTCCAGTTAGAGAGTAAAACATCTCTTTAAGTTAAGAGGAAACCCTTGTATTGTTTCCTTCACAGTATAATTCTTCCATCTATATGAATAGATAGAAGTTCAAACGTGTTACTGTTTTGATAATGAAAATAATTATAAGATTAAGAATGAAAAAGGCAGCAATTAGAGGGAAGTACATGGATTTATTTTACTCATGAAAGCATTTTTAAAGTATCTGCACTTTGTAAAGCATTCCTTTCCCCACCCTTCAGTCAGAATTGAAGAAGCTTCTTAGATGAGAAAAGAAAGACCTTTGGGATAACCATGATCTGGATGATTGAGAATCTCCATAGACATCAAGCATTTTAAATGTTTGCAATAATACAGTAGACTGGTATTTCATATAGCTGAAAATCTCCCCCCCCTCTCTTTCTCGCCCTTCCCCCTCTCACCTATCTATCTATCTAGAAGCCTGGCACTCTGACAAACTGCCCATCAATAAAGACCTAGACATAAACAACATCTACATACTGTGCAAAAGAGTCAATCAATAAAACAAAGAGGGAGTAAAAACACCAAAATACCTCTCCACCAGCAATCAACGCCCAGATGAGCATAGATTAATACCGCTAACATCAGACTAACATCAAGAAGTGAACAATACCCCAATCAAGGAACTTCCCAACAAGCTAACAATAACAGCCCAACCACTCCCATCAACACTGACAGGAAAGGCACTAGAACAGTGATGGCGAACCTTTAAGAGACTGAGTGCCCAAACTGCAACCCAAAACCCACTTATGCATCGTTGAATGCCAGGTGGGTGTGGCCCATTGGCTGGGTGTGGCCAATTGGGTGGACGTGGCTGCGGTGGTAACGGCATACTGGGTGGGACTAAAAAGTTGTCAATTCCAACTTTGCAAGATCTTTTTTTTTCCTGCAAGAAGTTGAAATTGACTAATTAAACTTTTTTTTTTTTTTGCACACAGTGGCAGAGGCCTAAAGCGAAAAGGTTTTATAAAACCCAGTTGAAGGCCTAGGACTGGGGCAACAGCGTGTGTGCCCACAGAGAGGGCTCTAAGTGCCGCCTCTGGCACCTGTGCCATAGGTTCGCCACCATTGCACTAGAATATATAGATTGAGAGCAAATATAGATTGAGAGCAAACCCGATTCCTTATTAGCACTGCTGATGTTATTTAGTTTGGGTCATCTTCATACTTGTTCAACAACACCTTTATTAACTTAATAAAGCTACATTTCAGTAGACATGCCATTTTCCCATTTTTATAAAAACTGTTGCTTTTTGCAAAAAAAAATATAAAATACCAATCTATTCAATTCTGATACAGAGATCCCGCAACTAGCAGCAAAAATAACCTTGATCCAATCAAAATGAAGCGTTTTTTTAAGTCCTGTTGATTTAAACAAGAGAGATTAGTAGGCCTGCATTTTCTGTTGAATCTTAGAGACTTAATTTTGGTTGTACTGTGTCTTTTTCTAAGTCTGGAATATTTATAAGCAAATGCAGTTGGAATAAGGGAAATGGGAATTTCCACATCAAAACATTTGATAAGTTAAGACTTAGTTAGGGGTAATGAATTCTTCATGGTAGGGAAAAGGCATATAGCCTTGGGTCTACTTTTCAGGAGTTTTTTCTGCATAGAACACTGTTTTAGTTTTTTTCCTGATGCTGCAGAATAAACATGAATCCAAACTGTCCCAAAGATGTTTTTTCATACCATTCAGAGCTGAAGAAGCTTCTTGGATGAGAAGCAAAACATCTTCAAAGAAAAACAAGGAGGTCCAGCTGACTTGTGAAAAAGCATCTTTGGGACAACTATGACCTGGATGACTGAGAATCTCCATAGACATGGATCCAAGCTGTTTTTCTTTGTCTGTAAACTACTGGTTAATTTAATTGTTGGAGCAATTAAATTATCTGTTATGCAGCCTGGTTTATTTAGTATTATCATTTGTTTCTTTAGGTTGAATTAAACTCTGTGCTTATCTTGGTAACCAAAGAATTCTGAATGATAAAATGATTAGGGATCTGAGGCTATCTGGTTCTGAAAAACTAGTCGCAGTCCAAATATGATCTCCAAAATAAAATTACCATATATGGACTGCAAAATTCTGAATGACCACAGAGCACTAGTTTTGTGGAGTTTTCATCTGGATTTTTGCAGCTCAGATATGATAAACCTTCAATCAAATTATTACAGTAAATAGAGGTAACATAACTTCAAGAAAATGCATATAAATAAGCATATTCTAGGTAAAACTTATTAAGGTTTTTTAAACTGAAGTATAGTAAATCTTTACATCCATTTTACTGTTACATTAACAACAATAACCATCTTTCCTTTTAATATACTTTTGTAGGGTATGCTTTAATTCAGGTTTTCAAGCTCCATCCCACTAATATTCCAATATAAGAAGTATTTCTGAATGCTGACAATAAAGACAACAGTTTTTTTCTAGATATCTAATATTCCAACCCTTGTTTAACATCTGAAGCCACAAAATCTCTTTATGAACAGCACAGTGAAACAGTGCTTTTTTAAAAAAAAGATGGCATTTTTCATGAATTAATTTGGGGAGGATAAGGTTGTAACGCAACCCTGTTGGCATTCTCTGTCATTTCTCTCCACACCAATACATCGAATCTGCAATAATTCTATACACAGAGAAACTTCATGAGAATCACTGAAGTCTTACCCATATCAACATCCCTCCTGTAAAGACTTGCTTAAGGTAAGTTGTATGTCAGACATGTTGCTTCAAACCTTTCCTGAGATAATCAATGTCTTAGTGACATCCTTGTGTTTCAACTATTATCCCCTTCTAAGAATAACAAGGAAATCTTGAAAAAAACGTTGTTTTTAGAAGCCTAAACCAAGCTAGATGTTAAAATTTTAAGGTGCTAGATCCATAATCAAAACAGAAAAACACTAAGTAAATCCCATTGCTATTAATACATCAAACTTTCTGCCTGGAAAAACTGTACTAACGCTGAAGGAAGCAGAGTGTCCTTATCTTAATAAGAACTGTGGACAATCTCTATAGTTTAAACTTAAAGCACATAAACAAGTTTTTCCAAGCTTAGCCCATCTTGGGTTTGCCACCAGTATTTTAGAAATCTTTCTCAACCTAGAATCCTTCTTTTTATCTGTTTTACTACGTAATTGCTCTGGTCCATCTTATCCTACTATCACTGGGAAAAGACTCTGATCAGATTTTGAAGACCATACACATAGTCCTCGTCTTACGACCACAACTCAGCCCAAATTTTCCATTGCTAAGCAAGACAGTTGTTAAGTGAATTTTGCCCCATTTTACAGCCTTTCTCGCCACAGTTGTTAAGTGAATCTATGCAGTTGTTAACTTAGTAACACGGTTGTTAAGTGAATCTGGCTTCCCCATTAACTTTGCTCCTCAAAAAGTTGCAAACTTTCATAAATATATGCCAATTCCCAAGCGTCTGAATTTTGATTACATGACCGTGGGCATGCTACAACGGTCCTAAGTGTGAAAAATGGTCATAAGTTAGTTTTTTCAGTGCCGAGGACTACCTATACAAATACAGCAACAACCTTTATAAGTTCATAAAAATCAGTAAGACTGCCTACCCAACCTATCCAGATCAGAAACATTCCTCCACAATCATCAGAACATTGTATTTGCTAATATTGCTTTCCTGGGCACCACATAACCATGATTCTCTCAAATCAACAGATTTCTCTCATCATCTGGTGATTATTAATGAATGTGGAAAAGACTGTAACTCCTTGGGAAAATGGTGAGATGCAAATAAATAGGTAACCAAGAAAATCCTCCCAAGGAATCATCTCTGGTCTGGTGCTCTCTAAAACTTTAAACTGTAACTTCCATAATCCCCCAATCATCATAGACATGGAAAAACAATTTTAATAGTTGCTTTTCATATATCCAAAAATTGCTTGCTTCTTCATACTAAGTCTTACTGAAGTCTTTCATTGCTTACTCTTACTCTGACTTGTCTTTCTCAGGCTTCCATATTTCATTAAGATAATAATTTAAAAGCAGACATAATTTTGATATATCATTATTATTATACCATATTGTATGATAAAGATGCATAAAACCCAAAAGTTTCACAACTGCCTAAGGCAGGTATTACCTTAATATGATTTATTTGAATGGCCAGCCCATGCCCACATGTCTCTTACAGAAGACACAACAGGCCTATCATGACAGGCAATATATTAAGCATGCTCAGACTTGTAAGGCCTTTAGGCAATCTGTATCTTAGCCTCCAGCTCTATATGGTTGGCCAAATCTGGAGAAATGCAGGTCTGACCTTTAAAAACTATTCTGGAATAGATGTATAGAGTCTTTTGAAACCTAGCCTAGGTTAGGGACAGATGACTGATAAAAATCTACCTTCTGAAGCAATCATTACCTGACCCCAGGTGGGATTAATATACTTAAACCAGGGTACACTTTTGCTTGTATAATCAAAATTCAGGTAGAGTAGAATAGAGTAGAATTGAATTGGAAGGGACCTTGGAGATCTTCTAGTCCAGCCCCCTGCTCAAGCAGGAGAACCTATATCATCTCAGACAAGTGACTGTCTAGCCTTTTCCTGAAAATCTCCAGTGATGGAGCACCCACAATTTCTGGAGGCAAGCTGTTCTACTGGTTAACTGTCCTCACTGTCAAGAAGTTTCTGCTTAATTCCAGGTTGCTTCTCTCTTTGATCAGTTTCCAACCATTGTTTCTTGTCAAGACAAATAATAATATAATATCCTTAATCTGGTTAATCATCATCATCCTCCCTCCCTCCCCCTCCAAAAAAAAGTCTCTGCAAAGAACAACTGCTTTAGAGTTGGAGTAAGAAATTCAGTTGAGCAACCTTCTCAGCCTTGAGTTCTTCAGATATGTAGACTAGCACTCCAGACCAAAAAAGGTAAGATGCCTGGGACGTCTGGGAGCTTTAGCCCTAACACATCTGGAGGGGTTCAGTGAGAGGTAGGCTTGGATGAGGAATTGGCTGTAGCCAACTAAAAAGCTACACAAAGTACAATATGTATAACTTGGTGTGATGGTAGGAGGTAGAGATTCTTTGGTGAGAGACTCATCCATATAGACATATTGGAAGAAAACAAGGCTGAATGAAAAACGAAAATTTCCTATCATTGATATTAGATGTCTAAGAATCACAGCACATTAAGAAAAACTACCATTCATGAGAAAACATCTGCTTGGAAGAAGAGGTTTTTCATTTTGAAGGTTAAGATTGCGCCAAATAGGCGAGGGATTTGATTGGAATGGTGGACTAACAACAGAATCCCCTGCCCCTGAGAGATCAAAACAACAAATAAGAACACACAGAGGAGGAAGGATAAGCAAAGTTACTCT